TTTCAGCGCTTGATTGGGACTCCTGCTTGGGGTCAACCAAAGACTTTTATCCAACAGACTTTGGTTTGAAAGAGTCCAACTGGGCGTAAGTGTAATCATAACCAAAGATAAAGTTAGTGAATCCGTTCATTTTCCATGTTTGCAAATCAATCAAACGACAGGATTTAAGACTAACAATTTTGAGTTCAAAACCCTCTTTTAGAAATCAGAGTGTGTCTGAAATTAAGGCTGCACAATACTGGAAAAATATGCAATGTTTTTGAGTATTGCGTTTATGACATTTCTTATAACATAATAAACTTTAAAAAACACTATTTTACAAGCAATTTTTAAAAAATCATTTATGTAATGATCATATATAAATAAACAGTTAATAGATATTTTTCTGAGTCAAGATGCAAACGTTTAGACTTCAAAATACTGCAAATTACTGAAAACCTCGGCAGAAATTTGGATTCTTATTGACTGTTGACCTTTTCCTCTCTCGTCTCCCAGCATTATTATTTATTTTCAGCTCTATGTTCACCTACCATCACCAAACCTATTTAAAAGGTGTGGATAACCTTAGTAAAGACCCCATCTGATTTGTCAGATTTGGATAAACAACCAATGTATGTAGAACACAAATGCTTTGCACATAAACTGAATTTAATGCACTTTCCTGTGATATGGATATTGCATACTGTTATCACAATAACAATAATTTTTCGTTATATTGAGCAGCCCTTTCTGAAATTACTGTAGACTAAAAGCCCTAAGGAAGTGGTAATGTACATTACTCTGCGTTCATAAATATATGAAAGCAGGTGTGAATTATTAATATGTTTATTGTTTATGTGAAATACTGATAAATACCAGGTTACCTGAGCAGCATCTTTAAAAAAATTTATCAAGACACATTCCCTTTTACACCTGGTGTTTTATTAAATTCCCAACCATTTTGCTGATTCTTTGAGGTGATGTTGTTTGTATTATAATCATTTTTCTGATCTAATATAGTAAAATGAGCTTGCATAAATTACATATGAACATGAAAGGAAACAATGGAAAATTCATCAAGCTTAAAAAATATTGTTCACAAGGCGTTAAACTACAGTGTGCAATTATAATGAATAGAAAATTAATATAAGTATATATTAGTATGCAAGTATATCGATGGAAATAGTTATTGTTTTTAAGTTATGTTTAGCCGCTTTGCCAAATCAAATTGGTAACTTTGCTCAAATAGCAAGCTCGATCAGCAACAGGAAAAAACAGGTAGCCAGAAAACAGACATGTGGCCATTCCTGAGTGCCAAAGTCACTGCACGCATTTTCCAACCATGCTGAGGATTCTGGTGCAAGCGCCATGCCATGTAATTGTGCCAAACTAACCCAAGCACAAGTGGAAATACCAATGTAACCCTTCCTTACTATTCTTTAATCCACTTGGTCCAAAGGTCAAAGAAGGGCTTATAAGGTTCCTGTTCTTAGCACAAACAGGCCCTAAAGGATGAAGCAGGCACATACTGGCTTTCCAACCAGATTAAAGGCACTGGAGCTCCTTATTCCATGATGGCAGATTCAAAGCTCTGCATGCTCCTACACATCGCCATATCACACAAATCTGCGAAACATTCTCAGACAGACATGACCATGAAAAGACAACTTTCGCCCACAGGCTCATGAATAAACTCCCACACTACTGCACACAGAACAGCTCGCGCAAACCAACACATTCGCCCGCCTCATCCCATCATTCTCAGTCTGTGAAAGCAAACGCATGCGCTCAAATATCCGCTCTGACGATTCAACCAAAACCACAATGACGCCAGAAACGGGCACTAAATATATCCAAGAGGCTCCACAAACACTGTCTCTCATCCCCAAAAAATGTCACCAATGGGCCATTATTTCCTGTAAAGAGCACTCCAATAAAGTAGAGATGTCTCCAAATAGTGGACAGATGGAGTAATTTTCTTGCAGACATGTGTGCTTCTATTGTTGGGAGCTTAATCTAGTTCATCTACTCGCAAGGAATGAAGTGAATCCACTGGACATAAAGTGGGCCATAAATCAAGCAGGCATCGACGGGGAATCTCATCATTCAGGCTGGAAGTCATCTGAAGTCAACACCTGTTATCAGTGTTTTTTTATTGAAGTTGCAGTGAAACGAAACTTAATTCTGAATTAAACTGTGATCTGATTTGAAGAAGCATATTGCATAACTTAGTTCTAGTTTTGGCACTTGCCACATGAACACAAAGGAAGGGCAACAAAATTAATGGTTCTGCACCCAAAATTTAATTTATTTTTTTAATCAACAAAGCTTGTCTTTTAACCCCAAACTTGTTGGGACTTATGACTTTGACTAAAATATGTGTAAAAATATCCATTTCATAACAAATTATGTGTTGTTGTGTATTTATTTTTTGAACCAAACCTTTAAACACAATGTTTGTTTTTTGTTTTTCATAAAGCAATTTTCATTTTTAAAAAGAGATCAAACATTCAGTATTTTTAATTGTACTGCTTAAAATTTCTTTCATGGGCCTATGCTCCAAAAGTGATAAAAATAATTATTTAATGTAATTTAATCTCATAAAACTAACTATACAAAACATGAATTGTTGACTAAAATATGACATAATTTCACCAAAAAAAAAAGTTTAAAAGAAAAAAATAAAGCCTATTTGGATAAATCATTTACTTTCATGTTGACTTTAAATAAAAACTGAAAGATTTGGTAGCTGTTGAAATAAAATAATATAAGCACAAATATATAATGAAATAATTTTTATTCATGTTTTAGACATCAATAGTTCCAATACAAAACCAAAACAGCAGAGTATAAACAAAACTAATCATGTTCAAAAAGTTTATTTTCAAAAAACTATGTTCCAATCATGGTACAAAGAAAAAACTAATTATTTGATGTAATGTTATATCATAAAACTATCTAAATATGCAAAACATAAATTGTTGACTAAAATATGACATCATTTTACAAAAAAAAAGTCCAAAAAAGAAATAAAGCCTCTTTGCATGAATTATTTACTTTAAAGAAAAACTGAAAGATTTACAAGCTGTTAAAATAATATAAGCAAAAATACTCAAATGAAAAAAATTGTATTCATATTTTAGACACCAATAGGTCAAATACAAAACCAAAACAGCAAAGTAAAACAAATCTAAATAAACAAAAAAGGTCCAGACATCAAGTAAAAAAAACTAATAATTTAATGCAATTTAATACCATAAAATGATCTAAGTATACTAAAAAAATATATAAAATGATAAAAAAAAACTAAAATCTGACAATTTCCGCAACAAAACGTATAAAAGAAATAAAGCCTCTTTGCATGAATTATTGACTTTTTATGTCGACTTATAAAATAAATAAAAACTGAAAAATTATTAACTGTTCAAATAAAATAATAAACAAAAATACTAAATGAAATGATTTTTATTCATCATAATATTAAGCTTTTTAATACCCAATACAAAACCAAAACACCAGAGTATAAAAAAACTAAATATAGTATAGTATAAGCCTGAATAACTCCAACATTATGGAAAGTTTCACACAAATCTAAGGCATGATCATCCAAAAGCTTAAGTTCAGACATCATTTCCTAAACATGGATTACTTAACTTGCAATTGCAGAACAAATCTACAAAGCAAACTAAAGTTGGGGACAAAACCAGTGGATAACTGTCCGGCTGAGTGGGTGAGGGGCCTTTGGTATGGGGAGAATTGGGCAAAGCTAATTTCCAGGCAGACTGGATGAGTGCTGAGCATAATAAACGTTTCTCCCATGGCAACAGTCTGTAACTCTATTGACCGAGTCCAGCAAAGGATCCGAGCGGAAATATCCAATCCACAGCTTTTGGGAAAATGTAATTTCACAATGATATGTTTGTTAGCAATATAAATCCGTTATTTCACAAAACCTACTCGTGACCAACTATGATGTAACGTTAGATTATTCCAATGGACGGTTGTCATCATGTGGGAAAATCCCTTCATCCATAAAACTAAGTGAAAACTAGGTCGTAATTAAGTCTTTACATGTTGGTCAGCATCACTCAACCTTTTTTCATTAAGTTTGCTTTCCTCCATTCGGTCATTAATAATTCAGTTCTTTCCATTACGTGTTTGTAGACTAACGTAAACATAAAGGTGGAACCGAAAATAAATCTTGTTTCTCGAGAAACAAGCAGGACGTGGTTTCACATTTCAATGACGCATCGTAGGGTTAAAAACATCGATCTAATTAACCATATGCGAGATCAACAGAAAAAATATGACTGAATTGTATGTGGCATTTATCTACATAAGTTAAAACATCTCATGTGATTCAGTGAAGAAAAATGAACGATGTGACACGAGCATACAAACCTACTAAACGTTCATTTAAAGAGAAAGTTAAACATAAGTGTGATTTAGCTTTCTCTATATAACGTTATCTAACGTCATATGAATGAAAACCTGAGGTAACTTATACAAGATTATTTATTTGTAAATATATTCTGCATTAAAATTCCCAAAACATAAACAACAGCGAAAATCGACTGCCAGCGGTTTTAAAACATAAAGCAAGGTATTATAAATCTGCTTTTCACCGTAAAGTGAACAGAATTAAAGCATTTTTATCTGTTTGTGTTGTGTTTAGCTCTCGAGCTAGTCACGGTAACTCCGTTAGCAACCACATAACCATGCTAATTTCACGAATAAAGTTACATTTCCCTTTCCTTAATTGATGACCACGTGATGTGTAACAAAAATAGCATCTAAATAAAATAAACAAAATATAACTGAAGGACGAATCAGGTGAAGTTAGCACAAGCATGTCTTTGTTCTTCGTGTGTGTGCGAGTGTGTGTGTCTGTGTGTGTTAGCAGCAGCCTGGTTAAGTTTAGCTTCGGTTAGCCACATAACGTTACCTGACTGTATAAAATAAAATCGCTCACAACGACAACTAAAATAACAACATCTATACTAAAGATCATCGCGTCTTACCTTTCTGCTTTCAAACAAGCGACTTCTGAAGAAATGGGTTTAATGTGATGAGAAGGAATGTAAACAAGCCGAGCACAGTAAACGGGACCCTTTCCTCTTTAGGTTGGAGCAGAAGTGAACACTGAGAAGGGGAGGTGATCGAGAGTAAAGTGCGTGACTGAGTTTCTGTGGTTTAGTAGCTGTTTACTTCCTGCAATCCTCAGCCCTTTTTGTGACGTTATTGGTCTAACAGAAGGTAGGGCTGAAGCTTCTATTTATATATTTATTACTCAATAACTTTAGCTCAGCCACCCTCACTGCCAACAACTACCATGGTAACAGTTATTCTAGTTATTAATGGTTTACCATGAACAGATACTGTAAAAATGATTCTTGAGGCACTGAGTGGTGGCCTGATCAATGTATCAGTAATATTGGAAAAACTGATCAATGTATCAGTTTTTCCAATATTATTTAACAGCTGGATCATGAAATACTTTTTTTTTTTGACACAAGTTGACACAACGACTTTTGAGAGTGTATAATGCTCTATGGTTTGTACCGATTGTTGGTTAAACAAAGGTTTACCTGCTGGCATAATTTTGTTCAAGCAAAGTGTAAGTTAAGTAATCATGAGTAAACCCAACTTAAAGTTAACCATTATTTCAACTCATAAAAAGATCCCATGTTAATGACGTTTAATTAAATATTTTTTGGGAACATGAACTTAAGTTTAAAGTCATCACAATAATTAGATTTTTAGAAATAAATTCCAATGAACTTACAGTACCCATAGAATAAATTAACCTTTGCATATCAATTAAAAACAAATTATATAGAGAGGACAAACATATTAGTCAAAAATATAAAGGTGTCATGTTGTTGCATTTTCACTGACATGGTTTTCTTTACCAGCATAGTTTCTCAGTACATAGATGCCAACACACCCAGATAATTATAATTACATCATTTAAATTGATTTGGCCTCCAGTGCTCAAATTCAGAAGAATGTGATTATTTCTTTCATAAAACAAACCTGAAGAATTTGTGGCAAAATAATTATTTGTAAAATAGTTTTGAATCCTTGTCAACAAAATTAAAGGGGTGGTCGACTACAGTATCATACTTTAAACTTTAATTGAAGTGTAATCTAGCTGTGTAAACATAAACATCTCTGAATGTAATATGCTCAGAGTACAATGCAAAGCGAGACATTGGGTTTTACAGAGTTAGCAAAGCCTAAAGCAAACAAAGTTTGGGGACTACCAAAAAAATACATCCAGGCTAGTGAGATCACAAACGCTTCAGGGTACATGCATTCACCATGTGCGCAGCAAAGGGGCATGGCCAGAGGCGCTGTAATATTATCCACTTATTAAGTGTGACATGACGCAAAGCAGCTTCCGGGTCCAAGCGCTCTATCAAACTGCATGGGGAGACTTATCAAATGGTAATAATAAAAGGTCTACAAAGCGATGTAATACTTTTAAAAATCACGATCGCAACATATGCATGCTTAATATTCGATGGCCAGAAAGTGATTAATTTTTGTCATGTACATCATGACTTAATATAAAATTCACTTTAAAGTGAGATATGACTAAAAAGTGACCATAAACGAACATTTTCTCAGTTCAATTGAATAGTGGCTTGGACCCGGAAACAGTATTCCATACGTCACGACTTAACAAGTGGATAGCAGAGAAAGCTTAAATGTCGCCCAAACGCTGCTATTTTCACAGAGCTTGTTCTGTTTCTGTATTTGGGCTTCCAAAGGACACGACACAAAGAGAGAAGTGCTTACAATTTACTTTTAACTATGTTCTAAAGAATTATTAAAAGATATAGCTCTAGCATTTGACAAAGGAGAACTTCCAGAATCTCTCCCAGATCAGTGCTGGATTCGGCTAAAAACTCCTCAAAGGAGCAGCTCGAAGTAGGGGTGGGCGATAGGAAAAAAATATAATTTGACGATTTTTTTCTGGGGTAATCATGATTTTTATCCCGATTCTTTTTCAAATTTATTTTTTAAGACTATTTTGCAAATTACAAAGCCACAATACAACCAAACTAATGTCCCCATCTAAAATATACTCTTACTATGTATGTTTAAGAATATTTTAAAATATATGGCGATACAGTGATTTTTCTGAAAAAGTAGATTGTGCAGTAATTTCGATCGTCCACAATCAAATATTGTGTTATCACACAGCCCCAGCCCCAACCATAATAGACGAAGCTGTAGATTGTGAGCCACAACCTGTAGGTATTTTAATTTGTTGAAATTGATCTATTAAATGCATTGTGTCTACTGTTAACGATATGTTGTAGCGAGGACGTAAACAAGGATGTAAACAATGGGAAATGCGGTTTGGCACCATTAATAATTAAGCTACAATTTCATTAGTCAAAGCTGCTTTTCCTGCGTTCTACATCTCAAATAACAAACTCGCAAAAGAACTTACACATGTTTATAACCTGAATATATATGAAAGACACTTGTCAGATTTTTTTATAGAGCAGATGAGGTTCAGCTGAGTTCTTTCTTTGTGTCATTATCTGTCTAATTCAGACTCAAACTGATAAGGCTAACAGCTACTTTGACTGACAATATTTACACAACGCAAAAGCGTTTGCGTGTAGAGGCATGACGCTTTTAATGGCGACGTGGAGACAATCTGCAAATCACAGCACATTATGTTAGCTGACTAATCAGAGCCTCTTGAGGGCGGGTCTTTCGGGGAAACTAGGAAACATTATAGTTATTTTATTGTTAGCTGAGTAGCTGTATATTATCAAAGTATGAACAAATTATTTGATTATTATTATTTTTTTTTTTTTTACAAATGAAGCACACATTGCTTTGCATCTTATTAACACAACCAAGCCTTAAAAATACACTCTGGACCAACCATTTAAAGCCTATTAAGCAAAGATTGAATAGAATTTTGCTTAAAAGGCTCTGGAATAAAATGGAGTTTCAAGATTAAATAGGGACAATTTTGTCCTGAAATTTATAAGAGGAACTATTCTATATTTCATATAGTGTAACAGAGATGTAACGTATGAAAGAAAATTAAGAGTTAAATATTTAATGTTAATAACAAATGCATAGTTTTGCCAAGCTTTGCATTAGCACAGCCAAAATAAGCACAAAAATAAACGAAAGACAAAAGTATGATGCACATGGGTTAATATTGCGAAATCTAAAAAAATGTTGAAACAAAGCAACGTTTTCCAAAACAAATAAAATCACTTCATACCACATTTAATTAGTTTATTGTTTTTTTTTTTGTCTCTATGACAATACATACAGTGCATTACAGAACTAATAAAGCAGTATATCTGACGCTTGACCTGTAATCACAGACTTCAATAGCATCCACTCAAGTGTTTATGCACCTGCAGATTTCATCTGAATTATGTATGTTTTTGTCGATACATAAAAAGTGTACTGTCACTGTATTGTCATCCAGTCTAATTAAATACATTTTCTAGGCAACATGGTCTACATTAACAACTAATGGCTGCTAACAATTTAGCATCAGAATATATTAATGGCACGTAGTCTGACAGGACACAGTCTGCCACAACCCACAGTTTTCTTTTTCAGTCATTTTCCATCACTGAGAACAAATTGTTCCAGCTCAGTTGAACACAAGTGCCCATGTATTACATTAGTAAATAACTGACTGTATTGAGAGAGTTAATGAGACAATACCAGTGAGGGAAACATGATCACAAAATCCTTAAGCACTGGCATGCATCCATTGCTCTGGTGCCAAATGTGCCACCTACTCAACTACATAGCCGAATCATACACACAAAAAACGCACTGTAAACACATTAAAATCATTTCCAAAGAGCTGCATGTTAACAAAATACAGTAAAGAAAAAAGAAATGAACAGAAATAGTAGTAGTATCACTTCTTAATTTTCATGTCAGGCTGGTCTATCATACAGCGATTAAATGATATGATGGCACATTTTCAGTTCATATGGTCACACTGTAAATTTACAAAAACCTGTGGTATTCTGGTGTCAAACATACAGGGAGGCACAAGGATTATTCAAGAACTGTTCAAGAACTTGTACCAATCGAAAATAGTGTAAATCCATCTGTTCCATCCAAACAATTTTAAATGGACATTTACATACTTGATTTAAAATGTAGAAAATACTATTTGTATGTATTGATTATCATTGTAAAACATAAATATTTTAAAAGAAATTCCCCAGAACAACTTCATTGAGATAAATTTCTTTTTTTTTTTTCTGATTATAATTCATAGTTTAAGATAGTGACTTTGATATTTGATTTGTGTACAGTCACATTATTACTTGCTCTCAAGCCAACATCAATCACAGTGTGAAGGAAATCACAAAAGATTACAATTTAAACCAAGGGTGTCCAAACTCAGCCCTGGAGCGGGCCTGTTATGTAAAACTCATATTCACATGGTGATTTGTTCACAGTGTGTATAAATAGTGAAATTGAATCAAAAGCAATGTCTGAAAACACTGTTCCTCATTTTCCCCAACTATGATGTCACAAGTCCCACCCACTAATGATCTGCCTAATCAGCCTAGATCAATAATAATAAATCACTGAAACCTAATCTTGTTAATCAACTAAAGCTATTCAGTCAAGACTAGCAAGTGCTTTTCAGTTCTGTAGTTTAGTTTATAATAACAGTTCAAACTGCAGTAGGCACTGTATATTACACTTTTGTCACGTTAATACATAGATCTAACATAAACATAGTTTTTGTCTTAGCTGTTTACGTGCACCTCAGATGTGTGTTCAAACTGACAAGGCTTTAAAATGCATGCAGATAATAAACTTTCATAATGATGAATAATTGCAATGTCAAGTGAGAGCAATATACATGATAAAACCAAACAGATGTTTAGCCTTCAGAGCGTCTGAGACACAAGCTGTAAAGGCCCACTTCTGGAAAGGGGGTGGAGAACAGAAGATAATTTGCATTTCAAAAAAAGTGGTTTTGTTTTTGCATGTTATAATAAATAGTGTGTGATGTTTTTTGAGCTAAAACTAGTGGGGACACTCTATAGTAAAAAGGTCTCCTATAAGGATTCAAGTTAAGGATTTAAGACTTTGCAAGGATTTAGGCGATTTGGTTTAGAATGAACAAATTACAAAGGACGAATGTTAGATTGAAATAAATGTTCAAAAATAATTCCTGATGTAATGTG